CACTGCCTACTATTCTAATTATTAGTTAGCTGAATTAGGCGAAGCCGCCCGCATGTGCAACTTCTACATAGTCATTTTATAAAAATATCTGATTATAATTAATTGCTCTTTTTCAATAATCTTTTATTTCTTCATTATCACCGTTAATTAAAAAAGCATTTATCAAATTTTCTAAAACTTTCATTAATCTATTCTAAGGTTATTAAGTTTAAATGGAAGATCATGTTTTCTCTTAGTTCAAGAAGCAAGTCCGAAACTAAGTTCCTCAATCAAACTTTCTTTTAAACATTTAAGATCTTTAGCGATAGTGATAAAAGACCGATTAGAAAGATTACCAATGTATTTTTTTTCAAGTTCTGCAGTTTGCCTTTTGTACTCTTCATTATATCTAATGTTTTTTCTTAGTTCTTTTCTATATTTTTCAAAATCTTTAAGATTTTTTTCAATTACAATTAATTTACCTTTTTTTATCACTTTCTTGTACTCCAGTAGGACTGTCATAATTTCTTCCTTCCCAAAAAATCTGGTGATTTTTTTTAAAAGAAATATTTTTACTAGAAATTTCATAAATAACTGATGTTTCATAGGTCTTATAACATCATTAATATTACAAATAATTTGTAATTTTTTACCTTTTTGTTGACCGAGTTTTTTTAATTAAAGAGTATAAAGAATTAGGCGCGTTCATATAACATATAATTATATTAGTTATATAACTTTATTTTATATTTTCATATGGTTTATAATTATAATTTGTACCTTAATGAGGAAATATGTTCATGATTAATAATACTCAACAACAACTGGAAAATGATATTACAACATGAGAAACTCAAGAAAATTCATCACCATAATTACAAATAATAAAATATTATAGAAATATTTTGAATATAAATTATTAATAAAATATTGTTCAAGTATGTTAATCTAATGTTCACGTCCGTCACATAAATCGGTCCATTCTTTCGGAGGCTTCATTTTTAAGATTTTTTCTGGAAGTGTGATCAACTGCATCACAAGGCCGGATTCCAAATGCCACTATAAAAGATAAAGAAGTTTAAAATCAGAATTGTATTCATTTTTTCATGTATCACCAAAAAGTCATAACATACCTCGTAAAAAAAAAAATGAAATGAAATGAAGGGAAAAAAATGTTAGTGAATTTGTCAAAAAAAAAAAACAATATAATGAACAAAAACGGAATGAAACGATAGCATATCATGTGACAGTGTATTCCCCAGACTCCGGGATTGTCGGAAACAAATCTGATGGCAATCCACCTAAAAAAAGTTACATTTGTCTGTTTAGTCTGTTTTTCATTTTACTAATGGGACTATTTGTCACCCATTATATGTCACCGGTGAAAGAAAACGCGAAATTTATTTTTACCCTAAAGCAGGTATTGTTGCAGTATCACGCTTGATTGGATTATGTGTATTCAAATCATTTTCTATAACTTTATCTCCATTTCCGGTACCAAGTACCCAAAATTGGTAACCATGCTAAGTTTTTAGGAAAAAAAGTTAATTTTTTAAATCATTTATGCCGATTAATTAATTTTACATACAATGTGAAACGGATGTTCGCCATCGTCAGTATCTAAAAAAAAAAATATTGGTTAATAAAGTCATAAAATTGAAAATTCTTATACAATTGTTAATTATACTTACTGATGAAATAAATGACTATGTAGAAGTTGCACATGCGGGCGGCTTCGCCTAATTCAGCTAACTAATAATTAGAATAGTAGGCAGTG